GGCGTAACCCCTGACTTGGGCCAGCAGATCAGTATTGGAGATGGTGGCTGGAAGAAAAAAAAAAAAGAAAGAAAGAAAAAAACCTAATGTAGCAAATAAATGGATTTCTTCCACTTTGGCGTTTGTTGGTTTAAACCGTATGAGATCTGTGTTAAAATCCCTTTGTCGATGAGGTGTGCTTTTCCTGTACAGGAAGGCTCCCTGGAGAGAAAGTTCATTAGCATCCCAAGGGCTCAGCCCAAGGTGTGTTTGCCCATCTGCTCCGGGAAGGAGTGAATCTCCTTTGAGAAGGCAGCTGAGATGGTAACTGTACGTGGGTTTGGAATGAAGCAAAAAACCACTAAGTGACCAAATGTGCCGAAAGCAAACATTTGTATGGTGAGTCTTAATGGAGCTGGCTTAACATATTGTAAATCTGTGAATACAGTTGTAATAGGATCAGGAGTTTGGCATGAGCAACAAGCAAGTGGCCAAGCTTGCCTCTGGTGACACCAGATCAAAAACATTCAGAGCAAGAACTGTAAAGTAGGAAGGAGTTTCTGTAAGCAGAAGGGAGTAACACTGCACCAGCAGCACTGCAGATGTGGCTGCCATCAGCTGGATTTGAAGGCTTGACCAGCTGTAGGCAGAGCTGAGACAGTGCAAATTGCTGTAATTCTCCTGCAGTTAAAAAGGCTCTGGCAATTACCACTGCTCTCAGGCTGCTCTGAGAGAGATGTCTGCGGTTCCATATATAGTGGCAGCTGTACCAAGGTGGCTGTGCCATCCTCTGTTCTGGGTGCCTGTGGCTATAGCCATGGGGCAAGCCAGGATGTGGCAGTAGGGAAGGGTTAAATATGCAGGCTGGGATCAACGGGGCCAGCAGTTTTGATGGCTTTGGTGTTGGGATGTTAGTTTAAAATGAGATTTGGGCTGCAGCTTGGGTGTTGTGTCCAGGCCAAACAGTGCTGCTTTGATGGCTTTTACCAGGGCACCAGTATGATACAGCCAACACTGTGCTATTCCTTCTTCTCAGGTTTCTGAACTGAAATGAAAGCTGAGCTGAACTGCTCAGTGCAAAACTGACCATGGTAATTGTGAGCTTCTATCTGGTTCAAACTGCAAGCAATGTAAATGGTTTAAAACCACAAAAAAAAACTTGCTCCAACCTGGAAGGAAATAATATTCTCACCCTTAGCCCGGATCTGTGCCTTGCTGTGGCTGCTGAGGTCTTGAAAGCAAGGAGTTCATCAAGGAAAAACCCATTTCCAGGTGAATTTTCAGTTTATTTCCTTTCCCTGAGATTGTTACATGCCATCTCAGAGTTCTGCCTGTTTGCTTTCATCCTAGAGATGCTGGCAGCACTTCAGACAAAGCCTATAAGCATCATGGTCATGAGACTTCACTGACTGTCAGAAAGTCCCTGTCTCTCTTTGTTGGCTCTTAACATGAAAAAAGAATCTGGACTTTGCATCTTCAGCCCATTCAGCAGCTACATGCACAGAACACTGGAACAAAGACTTGAGCTGGATCAGTTCATGTCAGTCTGATTTTTAAAATCCTTATTTTTAGGAAATGTGTAAACTGTGCTCATCAGGGCTGAGGCTGAGGGTGAAGTGCAGCATAAGGTAAGTCAGGTAATCCACAAGCTGCATGCTGCTATTCCAGCTGTTGAGAGCAACCTTTAAAGAGAACTCTTACTACTGAGGTCTGAAGACATTGAGGAGGTCACTGCTGAATTACTACAAGGTATTATTGCTTTGAAAGATGTGTGCATCTAACTTACAGACACAAAAATCGGAGGGAGAGCATATATGGACCTGGAAAGAACCACAAAATTAGGAAGGTTTTTCATAATTTCACACATTTGCCAAAAATAAAAATCGAGACAAGTGAGAAATTCTGCATCGATGAGAGGAGAAAAACTGCTGCCCTGGAGCAAAGTAGGCATGGATTTGTTTGTGTTGGCTGGCATTATCTTGTACCCTGTGGACTGTCATTGCGCCTTTCTCAAGATAACAATTCTGCGAGGCTGTTAGCTGAGGAGGTAATTATGTTTACTGGCTCCATACTTACTAACGTGGTGGATTTGACAAAGTGTGGCTGGCAGTGCCTTTAAACTGTGGCTCAGCCAGTGGCAAAATATGAATTTAGATATGTTATCTCAAGTCTGCACCATCTCTAAGGCAATTAATTACTGGAAAATGTGTTAAGATAAAAACATCTGACAAATGAGGGAGGGAGAGTTTGTGCTGATCTGGTTACAGCACTGCTTTATTCTAGTATGGAATTTATCTGGTTTGCTCAAGAGAAATATGAAAATGGAAATATTGGCGTTGCTTCCAGCTGCCCAGACACAGGCACAACGAGCGCTCTGAAGGGACGCACTATTCTTTGCTGATCCATTTCAAACAAATGCTGCATTTGATCTCATGAGCCAGAACCTCCTGCTGGCACAGCACAGTCCAGGGAGACAGCAAAGCAGAGTCAGCGCAGCAGCAGGACCCGGCAGTGAGCACAGACAGCGCAGCAAATGCGAACCACCCATGAGTGGGGACAGGGCTCTCCCTCCGCTCCCTTCCAGAGAGCATATTTGCCCCGTTGCCTACTGCGGCCAGAGCCTGCCCTGACCGAGGGCCAGTGGCTGGATGAGGTATCCCTGCCCAGCAGAGTGGGATTGTGCCCTGAGCCGGGAGTACTGCACTGCAGTGATTCTTTTGCTTCAGGCTCAATCAATACGATGCTAAGCACCCAAGGCGCTCCATTCCTGTGTATTCGCTTTGAGTCGGTGTCTGCTGGGGGGTCCCACTCAGCCCTGCTGCGAGTGGTGCCCCTGGGCCCGGCCGAAAAGTTTTCCACGGGGCCCTGACCCCCTGCCTGGGGGCACTGCTCTGCTGCTCGGGAAGGACGTGCAGGGGTGATGGCTGGAAGCAATACATCACCTCGGAACAGATCAGAACCGCGTCTCAGATTACATCTGCCCTAATGGGAAATCCATACGGAAAATGAAACCCGCTGATAAATATTTGGTAGTTGCACACTGAAAAGGACTGTGCTTTTGTATCACAGCATAAACGTTGGGTACTCCTGGGCCTTCATCAGACTGCCTCAAAAACATAGACTGTATCTATTTGTTTACTCTTATGCAACCTTAAATGCCTTGGCTGTGGAATTGTTCTTAATATCATTTATTTAAATTGAGTGAGAAGAATTGCAAAAATATTAAGTTCCATTTTCATGTTTTATTAGCTTTCTTTGGAAGTGTTCCATTTGACACCCCAGTAGTTGTGCACAGTTCCTTACTCCCACTGTGCTGTGAGGTGCAGTGCATTTCTGGGCCATCGTGCTGTGCACAGTGCTCATCAACTTCCGATGGACCACCCCAAATCGTGAGGTGAATCCCACGCAGTTCAAAGATACCTACTTTAAGACAGTTGTCAGAAGAGGAAATTGCAGATAAAAATACATTGAATGTTTTTGTTGCTGTGACTACAACTGAAACCCTTTTTTACCTCTTTACCCCAGTGTTATTTGCTCTCCCTGAACCCAGTGCAGTGCTGAGCACAACAGTAGTGCAGCAGCAGAATGAGTCATGGGGTGCCCTGCAGATGCTGGGAGGGCAACTGTGGACCTGCAGACCTCTAACTTCCCCGTCACTGTGTTTGTTTTCCAGCAAATCTTGAATTCAAGTTGAGTAGGAGAAAGTACAAGTAATGGAATGAGCTGCAGACAGGTGTGAGCTCACTAGGCAATGCTGAACTTATTTATAAGCAATTCAGGTTATTTTTGAGCTCTAATAAATGGTTTTTATTTTTTTTTTTCTAGTTCATACTTTTTTGTGACTGGATAAAGTAAAACACTGAGGAAGTTTCAAAAGGACCAAGTGGGTCCTGATGCTGTATCTTCTCTTATTTGGACACCAAAATGATGGATGTGCCATTCTGCTGTGCAAAGTGAGTGTGAAACTGCCTGGACACCTCTTGGGTAGCTGTGATTTGCATGCAAAACCCGTATTTCCTAATTACCTTTCCTGAATACTCATGCCAAGATCAGAGAAGCTGAAACCATCTGCTCAGGTATTTTTGACGAGTGAGAAAGGGGATGGAGGTGAGCTGCGGCTTGCACTGTATTTGTGCAGCCTTGCCGTTCCATGAGGGGCTTTTAGTAGAGTCAGGAGCTTAGGCCGTGGCCCCGTGATGATGCAGCAGCGGGACAGGGTTTGGCTGCCGGCTCCCGGGAGCTTTGCAGCGCTGGCAGGAACACAAAGCAGTACAAACAGCAGTACAAACTGCCCGTCCCTGCCGTCAGCAGCTCTCACAATGAATGCAAACAGGGGGCAAATCTGCTGAGTAAGAAGATGCCTTCCATACGGGGTGACTTTAGAAACGATAACTCTGAACAGACAAAAAAGAGCTTAGAGTCCCCATTTCCAAATCAGCTGCCAGCGTGGGGTAAGATCACGGGTGAAGCCGAGAGCTTAAACGCTACCAGCAGCGTTTGGTTTGATGACAGCCGTCGGGTGCCTGCAATCAGCCTGGGCTGGGGCTCCCGGGCCGCGTGCCCGCTCTGCCGAACCGGGCGGCACCGCACCTGCACCGGGCATCGCAGGAGTCGCCGCCCGCCGGGCACTGAGCCGCACGCGCACCCGGCCCACTTGCAAATGACGCCGGCCCGGCTTCGGATGGCTCCGGGCGGGGTGGATCGCCCCAAGGCGCGGCTCGTGCAGAGCGCCGGCCGCGGGGCTCGGTGGGTTGGGGGTCGCTGGAAGAGGCCCAGATGGCGCCAGCTCTCCCCCCCACCCCCTCCCCGTTCCTTCTATGGCCGCTCGTGAGCGGGCCGGCTGCTGCCCCCCGCCCGGCCGAGCCTTCCCCGCCCCGGGGGCATTGTCCGCCGTAGCCCGCCCCGTCCAGCCCGGCCCTCCCCCCGGCCGCCCGGCCCTGCCCCTCGCCCCTCTCCTCCCCGAAGGCCAATGGAGACGGGATGCGGAGAGTAGGGCCGGGACGGGCGCGCCGGGGCCGCTCCGTCCGCCCCCAGTCTCCTCCCCTCGGCCGCTGACCGCTCTCTCGCGGCGGCCGGCGGGGCATGCCAGCCGCGTCCCGCTGCATGGCGCTGCTCCGGGCGCTGCTCGGGGCGCTGCTCCTCCCGATGCCAGGTGAGTCCGCACGCGCCCGCCGCCGCCCCATTGTCCGCTCCGCTCCGCGCGGCCGCACGTGGTTTTATTTATCCGACATCGGCGCCCGCGCGGCACCGGGAGCGGGAGAGAGACGGAGCGCGAGGGAGAGCGCGAGCGCGGCCCCGCTTTGTTCGCGCCGCGCCACGACGGGGCGGGCGGTGCGGGGCGGCGGGCGGCGCCCCGCCAGCAGGAGGCGCTCGTGGGCCGCGGGGCGCGCGGCTGTGGGCTGCCACGCGCTCGCGGCCCCGGGGGTGCGCGAAGGGCTGCGGGCGAGAGGCCCTCGGGGGCCGGCGATCAGCCCGAGAGGGTTCCGCCAAAGAGTTCTTGTAAAATTAACCTTTTACGACTCGCCCCGCTCCAGCTCATTTGACAGGCTTGTAAAATTAGCGAGCTCGCTGCCCGGAGCCGTACCGGCAAAACGAAGCCGACACCTGTGCGGCAGCCCCTGCGATAGGGCGCGGCGGGGCTGTGAGGCGAATCCCGCGTGGTGAGCGCCGAGCGCGGCTGTGGGCGCGTTGAGCTGTCGGGGCGTTGCGGAGCCCGACGGCTTCACGCGACCCAAAGCCCGTAGCGCCGATTTCCCCGAGGATTCTGGGGTGCGGCTGCGGGGGCCCGAACTCCTTGCAGTCGTTAATAGCGAGTTGAGTTGCACCTCGTGCTGTGCCTGCTGCTCCCAGCTCGCAGTGCGCTCCATCCCTACAGCCGACGTCTTTCTCTCTCCCTCAGGAGTGTGGTGCTTTAGCGAACTGTTCTTTGTGAGAGAGCCTCAAGATGTGACTGCCTCCAGGAAGGATGCGGTGGTGTTAGACTGCCAGGCCCGTGGGGAAGCTCCTATAACTATTACGTGGTTGAAAAACGGAGGCAAAGTGTCTGAAAATGAAAGGATCTACACCTTATCCAATGGCTCTTTATACATCAGTGAGGTGGAAGGAAGGAAAGGAGAGCAGTCTGATGAAGGATTTTACCAGTGCTTGGCTCTGAACAAGTATGGAGCCATTCTCAGTCAAAAAAGTCACCTTACGCTAGCAAGTAAGTGCCAGCTCTTGTTTGTTAACCTGCTCCCGAGTCTGTGGCTAAAGCTCCTCAACAGTGCAAAGCGACTTACTGCTTTGATGTTTGTGTGCTTGAAGAGACGAATCCTGCAGGTTTGTTTCTTTTTAAATGTGTAAATATTATGAACAAAACTTGTCATGGCCCTGTCCCAGTCCCTGGTGTGGTTAGGGAGACACAGCCACACGGGGGGTCTCACGGGTTTGGTGCCTTGTGTGTGTGCAAGCTGCAGTGCAGAGCTTCGCTGGCATGCGGGCAACCTGCTACAAAAGTTCTGGGTCTTGTTTGTCAGGTGCCATTGTGAAGCTTTTTCCGCAGTTATCTACAAATCTAATCTTTTTTGTTTTCCTGATCTGATAATTTGATGTTGTGCTGAGCAATCTTGGGGATATCCTGGGGCCAGAGCAGAATGATAATAGAGTTGCCTGTCTTTGAGATGGGAGGGAGCAGAATGGTTTTCAAAACCTCGGTGAAGACTGAATTACCAGGTCCTTACTGTTCCAATAGATAAGATAAAAGGGAATGGCCTCAAGTTGCACTTGAGGAGGTTCAGGTTGGACATAAACTTTTCCGAAAGTGTGGTCAGGTATTGGCACAGGCTGCCCTGGGAGATGGTGGAGTCACTGTCCCTGATGGTGTTCAGGAGCCATGGAGATGTGGTACCTGTATGGGTTAGCAGACATTATTGGTAGGCAGACAGTTGGACTAGATGATCTTGGAGGTCTTTTCCAACTTCAGTGGTTCTGTGATATGCTGTGTACGTTCAGCCAAGCAGACACAGGTACTGTCCCACCTGGAGATACTGCAGGGTCCTCTGGGATCAATGCTAAGGACCTGTTATGCTGTGCCATTAGGGAAGCAAGAGTCATGACTGTAGGGCACTCCAGGCCCTTATGCTGGATGAATGGTGAGAGGAATAGTCGCATGTTAGTGCTATTACAGCCCTAACAGTCTGACCCTGAGTGTGTATTGGCCTCCGTTTCCCTACCATCTTTTAATGTATTGAACAAGAGATGTGTGCTGCAGAATGAATGCTATGCCTTTCCCATGACAGTGCAGAGCTTTGCCAGTAGGCTGGAATCATTTCAGAGAAAGTGTAACACAGAGAGTACACAGTTTATATAGTCTTCTCATGTTCCCTCACTAATAGAACTTAACTGATGAACTTAATTTAATAGGAAAAGGCTTCCTTTGACCTCTTCAACCCTGTTCTTAGTGGCAAGTTGCACTAAACCATGGCACTGATACCTTTGTGGAAACTAGGCGTTACTTGAAAATTACAAGTTTATCAAATTCAATCTGAAATTAGTTAATATAGTTGGTACATGATAGTCACGTTAACTCATGTTAACATTCAGGCTTTTCTTAACATCTGTATTTTTTACTTCTGAACGAATTACAAAAACTTAACAGTAAGGTATCAGAGGAAGGTGTGAAATACCTTCTTCAGTGAGCCAGAGCGTTGGGCAGTGGAAAATCAGCCTGAAAAGCAGGTGGCTCCAAGTAAGTTATGAATTTGCCATGCTGCAAGAGGCTGTGAACTGTAGATTTTTAAAAACTGGCTATTTATTACTTTGTATCATTGTATCTTATTAATAGGATTAATAGACTCCGTGCTTTTGATTAAATGGCGAAAAATTAAGTATTGATGTCGTTGGTGTTTACATTCACATCATTAGCTTTAAGGGAGTCAGCACCATTAATAAAAAGGCTGAAGAAAGCTGTTCTTAAGAGGCTAAGAATCTCATATTGTAAGTATAAAACAAAGCAGTAAATGATGGATTATGTCTCTGAGACTGAGGAAAAATTAGCATCGTTTTAAGTCTGAGAAGTTGTAGGTTACGCACTGTGTTCTTGATCTCAGAACTTCTGGAGCAGTATGGAGCATTGCATGCATTTGTGTATCACGGTAATACTCTTGTAGCATCTTTTTCCCTTTCCTCTGAGGCTGTGTCAAAAGGTTTCCTTTTTTTTTTTTTTTTGAATGCTTATGGCTGGTGGAGAAAAGCTGAAGAGATGGTGGATCCCTAATGATCCAGTAGGTGTTACTGACTTTAAGTGGTTAACTAGTGATCAAAAGTGAAATCATCCTATGCGCAGCAGTTTGTTCCTTTTGGTCATATTCCAGTCTGCTCCATTGCAGAATGTCATATCTTTACTGTCAACTACCAATAAAGCAGTGATTGGTGTAATTACCATTGATATCACTGAAGTCCAGAAAGCACGTGCAAAGTTAGTTTTATGTCTCATTTTTACAGTGGTTCTGCTGGCTGCGTGTCTTGGCTGTACTTTGTAGAGGTCTCAAGTGAATGAATTTTGAAGTCTTGTGGGGGATTTTTTAGACTTGTAAATGTGTTCCGAGGCAGTTCTGAGTTGCTTCGAAAGCAAATTGCCTCGTGGTCAGGGTATGGAAGAAACCGTACATACTAAACAGGTGGAGAATAGGCATTAAATGGGCATTCTTTCTTCGGAGGAAAAAAGCAAATGCTGTCTTTAGTCTGTGGTAGCAGCAGGGTGCGAGGATGTTCTTTTACTCTGCTTGGTCAGAGCTTTTCCCAGTAAGCTTATCTTTTGCTTCAGAATTGTAATGTTTAGTGTTGCATTTGGAAACCAATAACTTTAATCTGTCCAAGAGTTTAAGATTTGAACACACAAGGAGATCAGATCTTGGTTTCTAAAGTTAGGAACTGGAAGCTGAAGGTTGCACTCTTGGCAAGAATTCCATTATTCATGTGCAAATTAAGAATTCACAGGGTTAAAAGGTTAGAAACTGGCCAGGATGAGGTTTACCCTTGTGATAAAGAGCAGATGACCCTCATTCATTGGCCAGTGCTTTCATGTAGCTCCTCTGCAAAGTTAGTGATTGCCATGAATTGTTCTTGAGGAATGCAGAAATTCAAATGTGAGCAGGCCTTTCCTTAAGTGTCACTATGGAGCCTTATCTCCTGAGCACATCAGAGTAGGTCTGCAGGGACAGGGTTCCTCCCCAGAGGCCCCAAGGCTTTGCTTTCCTGTTGTTCATCCATGCACAAAAGAATTTGACTAATTTAGGGCTTTTTTTTTTCTTTCTTTCTTTTTTTTTTTTTTTTTCGGTAAGATCCCCCTACTCTTTTGAGGGAAGCTGTGGAGCTGAGGTATCGCTTAGGTAAAAATAAATATTCGTTTCAGTACATGCTGGTAGTTGTTTCCAAAGCTGGTTGATTGACTCAGGGGGGAGAGAGGGAGGTTCCTGTGTAGCTCTTGGTGAGGCTCCATGTGGGGGTGAAGCGCTAACAGTGAAGAGTAGATGACTCGCTCAAAATTCATCTTATTGCAGCCACAGCGACTGGGAGAGCTAGAATATAAAAGGAATGTGGATAAAGCCCAAGCACTTTCAGTTCAACTTTGAATCAGCTGAAAATGAAGTGAGATTTCTGTATTTCTGCACTGTGAATTATGAATAAAAGTTTAACCTCAGTTGATGAAGACTGTCTGAAGTACAGACATCTAGTAAGATAACACTAAGAAAAATGGAGGAGGAGGAATCATGTTTTGAAGTTAGTAACACAGGCTATGAGTAGAGGCTGGACAGGATGCTTGTTTATTTCCTTTTCACAACAAGTGAGAATTGGAGTCTTGGATGGACAGAATATATACAGCTGCGAGGAGCATTCCTAGGTTATTTTACAGTTTGTGAAGTATTTGGCCTGGTGCACAGAGCAGACTACTTTGTGGAGAGTTTGTGCTTTTGCTTACCTGCTGAGGCAGCGATGTGACTTCTGGTCCCATTGCAATGTCAATAATTGGCAATGTTTATATTTTTATATCCTACATCTCTTGCTCTGCTTTTAAATATTTGATTACTTAAGAGTGCCTCCCACTGAGCCTTATCCTCTGCTGAGGCAATCATGCTTTCTTAGCAGTAAACCATGCTTGTTCCAGCTGCTTGTTCTCACTTCTGCATTGTGCCCTTCCTTGTGTGGGCGCAGCTACACGTGTGGCTAACAGCACAGGAACTGGTGAGGGTTAAAATAATAGAATTGAAATAAAAGATGGTTTTAAAAACCCAGATGAGTTCCCTGATGTGGTTTGTGATGGAGCCACTTGCATGGTTGTATTGGTGTAACTGAGAGGAGTGATGTAGAGGTGGAAAGGCTTGATGCAGAGAAGGTCTACTGAAAATTAGATAGCCACAGAAATAAGTGTTCATCAAACTGTGGCCTTTGTAGAGTGTTCACATAGGCAGAAATGATAACAACCTTTCTGCAGTTAATGTTTTAAAGTTAGTTTAGTTTTTTACCTGAGGTAAGGGGGTTAGTAGCTGTGGTCTAACACAGTATGAACTTTATTTTGTGTCATTTGATGTATCCTCCAAATTTCTGTGCAGCTCGCAGGTATGTTTAATGATGTTAATTAGTAATGGGCAGAGAAAGAAAGTTCTGCAGTGCGGGTGGGGGCAGAAGGGCACCAGTGTTTTCTCACAGAGGTGGAGTGAAGTGGCAAATGGCTGGAGTAGGGAATGGCCTTGCATTGAAAGAGATAGCAAGTCTTAATGCTGTAGGACTGGCATGGTTACAGGCAGTTTGAGGAAGCTTTTGGTTTTGGTTTTTACAAATGCTGCATATAGCTGTTGTTTTGATTAATTGATTTGAGTGTCCTGGGAAGAGAACCTTGATTCCTAAGCTGAGGGTGAATGTGGCTGTTCCTGAGTGTGTTTAATTCCAGTATTTAAGGCAGGAGGAAGATGTTTAATGTCTCAGTTGAAGTGTTGATTGTTGACAGTAAGGAAGAATAGTAAGATTTTTGTTCTTTAATTGAAATACAATGAAGAAATTTAAAAAAAAAAAAAAAAAAAGACAAATGTTTTCCTTTCTAACACTTTTCCTTTAAGAATTTTCCTGCAGAACTCTCTCAAACGTCTTTTGAGCTGAACTTCTAAAATGAATTTACGGAAGAAATTGTCAGCTTCCTTTAAGACATGACCACTGCTTACCTTTCTG